TGATGAACTGTTTTCATTACTGTAAGGACATTCATTCTGAACCCCTTTACGCATTATGTTATTCACTGGGCTTTAGCTCACTGTTTATATATATATGTAGGTGCTCAGCCACCAGATCGGAGCTAGGAGCGCGGGTTAGACTCCAGTTTTGTCAAACCAGCCTTTGTGCCTCCCTGCGAGGTTCCGAGTTGCCATGCTATGGCTTTGGGGTGTTTTGTTTTTCCCCCGTCTGTCCCCACACTGTTGGACTACTGTATAGACTGTCAGCTGCTAACTGTACTGTTACCAAGGGATTAGGTCCCTGTACTGTGTAACTGTAAATTTTGTATAGACTGTACTACTTGTATATGTGAATGCATGAAAAATCTTTTTGGCATACAGACTGTCACAGCTCAATAGACATTATTTATTTACTGTATTGGCTTTCGCCAGGCCCTGTACTCTGTTTTACTGTGTTACTGTTCTGCAGACCTTCGGTAATCTCGGATTACTGGTCGGTTACGGTGCTAAACCCATAGGGCCGGGTTTGGGTCGTGACAAAATGTCTTTTTTACCCTTGTTAGTTGTAAATTGAATTTATCTAGACTTTTTGCTATTAATTACATATTAAGAGATTATTCCAACACCAAATTAACATAACCCTATTATTTTTAAATAATAATACAATGAAATAAATATTACACAAAATAAATTTATTATATTTTAATAATTATTTCCTTGAGAAATTGACATTAAAATCTCATATCTTCTTGAATCCATCTCATAATCATCATTACGAACCAGATGCCCATGTCGGTCTTCCCCTACCACTGCTTCCTCGTCAACAGGGACATACTCAATATGTTTATCATAAGAGTCAAATGGAATATCCCTTAAATTAGTTCGTCTAATGAAGTTGTGGGTCGCCATAGTAGCACAAACAAGTTGTTGTTGACAAACAAAATTGTAATTGCATGGAATATCTTTCATAAAAGGACATCTTGCTTTCCAAACACCAAATGATCTTTCTATTACGCTCATGAGTGATGAATGTATTTTGTTGAATTTTTCATGTGCAGTTTGAGGAGGCCGATGGTCAAATTGAGCTAAATGATATCTCTCCCCTTTGTAAGGCGCAAGATAACCCTTTGTGTTTGGATAGCCAGAATCAACCAAATAATACTCATCTACAAAGTAAAATATGAACTCATTACAAATATAACTAAAATAGAATAAATGAATAAATCTTAATTTGTGTTACATACATACCTCCTTCTGGATATGGAAAATTATTGTTTGGATTCCTAATTGTATCCCAAAAAATTCACGTGTCATGTGCACTTCCCTTCCAACCAGGCAAGCAAAATGTGAAACACATGTCAAAGTCACACACTGTCAATATGTTTTGTGTAGCATATCCCTTCCTACCTATGAAACGGGGTAAGTATTCTGCTTCCACATGAGCTTTGATATGTGTTCCATCAATTGCCCCAATGCAATTCTACATACAAAAAATATCATAAAATATTTTTTTTAAGAGAGAGAGAGAGAGAGAGAGAGAGCGTATTTGTAGTTACCTTAAAATGAGGGTAATATTTTCGGCTATTCTTTATGTACGGATGAACCCCATTTCTCTGCCAAGGCTTCACCCAGTCCACGGACATTTTCACACACGCTTTTAAATCAAAGTGAAAGTATTTTGAAATAGTTTCACCCGATAATTGAAATCTTTCTTGAGCATTTCTATTGTTTGCATGTTGACCAACAATAAATAAAAAAATGGCAACTTGTTGTTGAACCCCAACTTTTTTCCCTCATTATAGTTCATAGTTAGTCTCTAATAAATTGCACAATTGATAAAAAAACATCCCTGTCCATTCTAAAATTTTCATATATTTTTGTAGCATTACCATGTTGCAATTCTAACATCCATTGATGTCCTGTGAGAGCAGATGTCCTACATGGTTGTTTATTTAGGTAATTTTCTGCATAAATTGTTCCTGCCACTGCTGCTGCCATTAAGTAGGGATTCCCATACGGGTGATTTGGTTGTTGTGAAGATCCAGCGACATTGTCATCATTATCATAATCACCATCATCATTGAAATTGTCCATCTTTTTATACTGTATAAAAATTGGGGTAAAAAATCAACACCTACATTATTGTATGAGAGTAAATGTTGTGAATACAATATAAAAGTAGGAGTTTCTACCAAACCTAAGTAGTTTCAAAACTTATTTATCATGCAAGTTGTTATGATTTATTTTTAAAAAATGACTTTAGGTAAAAAAATGTATTTTCAATTCAAGACATCACCTAAAGTCCTGTTTTCAAAGTACTATATCACAAAATAACATGAAATTAATTAATTAAAAAATTCAAATTTACTTAAATTTGATAAATATGTTTTAAAATAACATACGTTTTTTTTATAATCTAAGAAAACTCCTAAAAGTTGGGATGTAACCCATTAATGAGTTTAATTTTATTTCATTTTTAAATTTTATTTTTGTTTCATTGGAAACAACAAATCTACCATAACTCTGAAGCCTTTGCAGAAAGAATTGGAATCATCTAGTAAATAACAATAACATAGTTTATTTTTATTGAATCCCAAGTGAATGATCATATGCTTGCAATTAAAATTAAATAACTTAGGATGCTAATTATAATAATTAGAATAATATAATATGAACTCTTCCATTATTACTTCCACCATGCTCTTGGAAATCCCCCATCATATATGTGATTTTTTTTATATTACTCATTTTGCCAGATCCCCATAGATCATTCTCACTGACCCATGCATAAATATAGCCTATCTAGATCATAATAATCATATGCATAAATTAATTTAACACACAAAATAATAGAATATAGACACAAAATAAAATTAAACAAACATCAGCTGAATACCTGCAAAGATTGAAATGCCTCTTGGTTGTTTAACAATTCGGAATGGCAAACAAGTTCACCATCACACTATATATAGACAGTGTAATTGCAATATTCATCATTTAAATAATATCTTTTTAAAATTGCTTTTCAACTTGCAGGCAAATGGACAAAATACAACTTCCAGGCAAATGGACAAAATCACAACTTGCAAAACATTAATGAGTTTAATTTTATTTCATTTTTAAATTTTATTTTTGTTTCATTGTAAATAACAATAACATGGTTTATTTTTATTGAATCCCAAGTGAATGATCATATGCTTGCAATTAAAATTAAATAACTTAGGATGCTAATTATAATAATTAGAATAATTTTATGCATAATATAATATGATTACATGAACTCTTCCAGAATAATTTTATGCATATGATAAATAATTTTATGCATAATATAATATGATTACATGAACTCTTCCAGAATAATTTTATGCATATGATAAATAATTTTATGCATAATATAATATGATTACATGAACTCTTCCAGAATAATTTTATGCATATGATAAATAATTTTATGCATAATATAATATGCTAATTATAAATAACTTAGGATGCTATTTATGTATAATATAATATGAACTCTTCCAGAATAATTTTGCCAGATCCCCATACATCATTCTCACTGACCCATGCATAAATATAGCCTATCTAGATCATAATAATCATATGCATAAATTAATTTAACACACAAAATAATAGAATATAGACACAAAATAAAATTAAACAAACATCAGCTGAATACCTGCAAAGATTGAAATGCCTCTTGGTTGTTTAACAATTCGGAATGGCAAACAAGTTCACCATCACACTATATATAGACAGTGTAATTGCAATATTCATCATTTAAATAATATCTTTTTAAAATTGCTTTTCAACTTGCAGGCAAATGGACAAAATCACAACTTGCAAAATCACATGGCACACAAGTGGCCAAATACAACTTGCAATAATACTTCCTATTCCATCCGTGATAGCACAAATTAAACATAATTCACTGAGGCAAACATAAATATAATATCAAGCCAAATTAATTAAAGATAGTCCTAATAATGTCTTTTAAAATAATAAAAAAAAACACACACTCACATTCGCACAATAAACTAATCACGAAAACCAGGAATGTGAGCCTTTTCCAAAGCAATTTTGAGATTAATAAACTTCAAACGCAACACATCATTAGGCAAAGCCATGAAAGACTCACGAAGTGAGGGTTTCATGAACAACCTTGCAGCCCAAACTAAAAGGTCATCGTCTTCACTAACGCCAGAGATTGTGCTAATCTTAGCCAAACACTCAGTTATTGTGTGCGGATTTTGCATAGCAGCATTCTATGTACCAGTTGAAGATGATGCCTCCACCGCATCGACAATACGGTTAAGTGTCTTACTCAACTCACTGATAGCCGATTGTTTTTTGTTCCCCTTTTGTTTCTTTGATGAACCCTCTTTTTGGCGACGACATTGGTTGCTCAATTCAGATGGATGAATTTTCGTATCAGTATCATCACCAAGTGGGGTGTGAGATCCCTCATTGTCATGAAACACTCCAAAGCTTGGGGTGTATGCCCACTTACCAGTTGCAGAAACATCAGAGAACAGTATGTCCATGTCATCGGCCAATGTCAATGGCTTCTCACAAAATTTGGCCGCATCAGGATACCTCTATAACAAAATATGGACAAATAATTACAAATATATAAATCATAAAGCTCAAGTACAAGTGAGCAAGAAAAAAAAAATTAACATAATTCACTAACCTGTAGATTCAAATTCCACCAATCATCTGATGCCATGATAGCTCTAGTCAAGGGATCTAACTCCAGCCCTGTCTCACCTCCCAATAAATTTTTCCAAAGACCCCACTCATTTTTTAAGGTATCCCAACGATTTTTAAGCTGAATGTGAACGTATGACTTTCTAGTTGCAATTTTGAACTTGTTAATAACTGCTTCCTAACCAACCCTATCTAAGTGCGTACCAGGTCTGTGACCTGCTTTCACTTGCTCCACACAAAATTTGACAAAAATTTCAGTAGATTTTGTGTCCCAATGTGCCTTTAAACCTTGTGAGGGTTGAGAGTTTTGGGAAGCTTTTCCTTTGCTCTTTGTAGTTGTTGGAGATTGTGATGGTGGTTGGGAACTCATTTTCTATTAAAATCATGATTCACCAAAGACAACTCTTTCAGACATTTGATTTACTTTAAAGGGTCAGTTGAAATAGTCAAAATTAGTCCTTACATAAAATCAAGATGATATTACCTATTCTCTTGTATATTGTCTTGTTTTGATTTTTTCTAGTTCTCTTGTTCATAATTTAATATGCCATATATTTAGTATTTCTTTTCTGTTAATAATCTTTTATATCTAAGATATAAGAAAAGAATGTAGTTCAAACTACCTTCTCTACTCATGATCATCATTTATTTTTCAATGATTATATTGTTGTTGTATGTCATATGTAGTATTGAGTGCTCATATCTAATTCATGATGCTCTAGTAAATCTGACATTAGACACAAAACCCAATTTGACATTCTTATTAAAAGAACCAATGCATGTTTGACACACATGATTATTATTCATATTTATGATATGTGTTGTATTAAACATGAGAGATGTTGTAGTTAGGCATTAAATTCTGAATTTTTAAAAATTATGTTTCGTGTGAATATGGAAGTTTACGGTCTTCTAACCGTCTTAAAAATAGAAAGCTTTCTTTTATTTTTTATATAGTAATAGACTAATAGATATCTCACAATTTATAAATATCATGCACATAAACTTGATTATGATACTTTAAAATGATTTAAAAAATAAAATAAAATTGGACGGCTGATAGGGATTGATATCTAACCTAATGCCTCTATTTAAAGGAACATATTATCTTTTCCTTCTCTATGATATATATTTTTGGGTTGCTATTTCTAATTTTTATATGCAAAAATGCTTTGTACCCAATTTACACCTCCCAAAACCCAATCCTATGTGGACTAAACAATGCAATCCAGACCTAAACAGATGCTGCAAATGTTGTGAAACAAGGCCAATGGTCTGTAATGGGCCCTAGAAGGGTAATAGAGAGAAGAACAGTCTCTAAAATAGCTATTTAAATTTAACATAGATTGCATTACTTTAGCTGCGCACCAACTTATGTAGACCTAATTCTAGGATACAACTGGTACATTGCATGTTTACTAAATCACCACTTTAACTAACATTGCATGTTTGATTCTAAGGCCAATGGTCTGTAATGTTTACTAATTGTAGGATACAACAGGTACATTGCATGTTTGATTCCAAGGTTTATGTGTCAAAGTCATATAAGACTATTACTTAAGCACAAAATTCAAACAAAGACTCAGATAGATGGTCCAAAAACACACATAATTTTAGATTTTGAATGTGCAAGAAAAATAGGCAAAAATTGGCTGCATTACTATTATGATTTCAGATTTTTTACTTAAGCACAGATTTTTTCCTGCATCACTAGCAGGAAAAAAAATAAATAAATAACTTGAACAAACTTTTAACATCAAAGAATGAATAAATTTCCCCAAATTTTTATTATTATGATTTGTTTAATAGAAATATCACAGTAAAATTTTTGACTCCTACACAAATTTTTAACATCAAAATAAATTTCCCCAAAATTTTCCTAAACCCTAATTATTCTTATTTTCCCCAATTTGAACAAATTTGAAATACATATATATATATATATATTTGAAATACATGCTGAACAAATTTAAAATAAAAAATAACCAAAACAATACACACACACACACACACATATATATAAACATGCATGCCGAGCAACAAAAAGAAAAATCAAAGATGAAGGAAACGAACCAGAGTCGGAAACGAATTAGAGTCGCACATCGCCGGAAGCAAACCAACACCGAAAACAAACCAGAGCTTCACGTCTCCGGAACTAAACCAGTGTCACAACTTGCTGTTGCGTTGCTATGTTGCTACTAATTTCTTGCCAAAGACAAAGATTAGGGCCAAAAAAAGAACATATATAGGTGGTATAAGGGTAAATCTTTCAAAACACTTAGGACATTTAAGTCAAATTGCCCTCCGCGTTTTACCCGTGAGAATCTGAAGCTGGTTCAACCAGCTTTTGAATTTTAGCATTTTTCCCCTTGCCGATAATCTGTAGAAGTTGAAGCTGAAGCAGATTCAAGTCTACCAAACAGCTTGAATTAGCTTTTTTTAAGCTAAAAGCTAAAAGCTAAAAGTTGGGCAAAAAAAGTTTCAACAAACACCACCAAAGTAGAGCACAATAGTAATAAAAATAAACACTAAACTATTCTCATCCGGCCCCCCCACTAGCAAACCAATCATTGTATAATTGCATAGTGAGTGCATCCCGCCGCACAGTCCATTCATGGGATGTCTCAACAGTATCAATGAAATCATCTCCCATTAGCGGTTAATTTTCTTCGCCATCATCGTCATCCTCTATAGGGTCAACTGCCATCTCTCGTCGAATGAAATTGTGTAACAAACAACATGCTGTGATAATACGATTTTGGGTTCTAATGGGGTAGTATGATGCACTACAATGTATTGCTCATCTCATTTTCAACAATCCAAAACACCTTTCTATGACATTCCTGGCTTGTGCATGTTTCATATTGAAATATTCTTGGTAATTACTTGGAGTTGCCCCTTCTCTCCAAATAGACACATGGTATCGCTGACCGTGGTAAGGTGCTAAAAATCCTTGCCCATTTGTATAGCCCGCATCCACTAGGTAATAGTAACCTATGTGTGGAATGTTATGCATTAAACACAATTACTATGCATGAACTTAGGAAGAATTAAGTATCATGAAATTACCATTTGGAATCCTTAGGCCATTAGGCCGATTGATCGCATCTCTTAAAATCCTAGAGTCGGCCGCTGACCCTTCCCACCTCGGTAACACATATATAAAATTCATTTGTTGGGAGCAAACTCCTAGAACATTAGTAGCAATATCTCCCTTTCCTGTCCTATACCTTGCTTGATGAATCACGGGTACACGAACTCTAATATAGGTGCCATCAAGTGCTCCAAGACAATTCTAAACAAACCAGCTAAATAGATATTGTGATAGTTATGGTTTTTTGTTTTGGGTAAATTAGAGAACAAAAGAAAATCAAAAAAATAATGTAAAGTTACCAAATTTGTGGACAATATATTTACCTGGAAGCAATTCTATCGTGGATCTGTATTTGCTTGGGTAATAGGATTTGGTGTGCTAAGTAAGTTGGCTTGAAAGCATAGCACAACCTTTAAGACATCATTGACATATTGACTAATAGTCTGTCCAAATCTATAGAAATTGAACTTAACATTTCGTATTTTTCAAGTGTTGTGCCAAAATGAAGAGGAAGAAGGCCACATTCTCTTCTAAGGTGACATGCTTTGAAGGTCCTAACCCACCAATTGTATGAATCATATTGCACAAAGTCATAAAAGAACAACGATCCATATAGAGTTGTTCAATACATGTTATGTCACTTTCTCTCACTAAAAGGTTAATATGATCCATTTGTTCTTGCAACCGATTGGGTCCCCTAATAAGATTACATAGATACTTAGATAAATACTTCAAGATAACTTGAATGACAACAGAAGCTACAGTGCATAAGGAAAATAGCTCTTGCATTACAACTTGCAGTATAACGTACAATTCAAGCTCATCATTACTCTCATCGTCAAAGTCATTGATATTCTCATCCATCTATCAAAATAAATTATCACACAAAAACCATTTAGAATTACAAATAATTTAAAGAATGGAGCATCTCTAGGCATATAGATAAACTATAAGAATCTACTTTTCACTGAAAGAGAAGTTTTAAATATAGAAAAACATGACAAAACTTCAAAAAGATATGTGCTTTATATAATAGATAGTGTATAGATAAAGGGATATTAAAATAGAATTCTTCTTAGAAATGCTATGTATCAAGGTAAACCACACAATAAAGTGCCCAGAATTTGAGTATGATTTAAACTTTGTGTGCTATGAAAAATCTGATCCACACATGTTGAATGTGAACAAATATTTTTTTTAGATAGTATTTCTGAATTTTCTTCGATTGCTTGAAAGTTCACCCATGATTGCTGATGGTGATTACTTCTGGGCAAGGTGTTGGAAACTTGCAATTAAAAAAAGTTCCAAGAGACCCAATGGAGGATGGTAGCTAATCTATGATTTATGGTGCTTGTAGACGTCCCCGAACGTCCCGGGAGGAAATCTCGTTTTGTTCATTTGGGCTTACTACAGTTCAGGACTCGATGTCACGGTCCTGAATCTAATCCCACAGAGTGCAATGCAAGACCGATGAATCACCAAAGAGTCCAAACCTGGCAAATCGTTTTGAGAAACAGATTTTTAGAAAGAAGTGCCAAACATGGACTGCTTTGCCAGATACAGAGTCGCCACCTAAATATTTTGTTTTGGGAAAATTTAGAAAACCCTGACTCATGCCTAAGGCCATGTGTTCGTCATCACCAGAGTTGCCTCAGCTCGGGAACTTGGGTACAATTGGGGAAGGTCATTTCATGAGTACCCTCGCTCGCCCGATCGAAGATTGGCCACTACTAAGCATGATATTGAGTTTTTGAAAACACATATGCTCTTATTCCAATTTATTAGCCTAGAATTACTATGTGATGTGCACAACATACAAGTATAGACTGGATTGCCTAAGTTGGAACAAAGCATCGCATATCCGTTTATTTTTTAAAATGGATTGAAGTTTGCTACTCGCAAGTAGGCTAAAACACGGGTTTCGACGAATTATTCCAACTCAAGCAACCCAACCTTCACCCACAGGCATTCAGGTAGTTATATCACATAAGCACATAGCCTCATGGTAAGCATGCTATCATGGCAGTCACTCACACACATGCAAGGATGCCAATGCATAAACACTTACCGAGTACTCCGAACCAAAGAAAGAAGCTAATTAGAAATCATGCATGAATCCTAACTATGCTAAGAATACCTAATGCAACACATGCAAAAATGCAACTACAATAGGCTCGGCTATTCTAAGATGGCATATGAGATGCAACAATCGATACATGTATTCAACTTGGAATTGAAATACAATGCAGTTAGCATGATGCGCCGAGCCTAGTGCA